ACCCCCCCCCCCCCCCCCCCCCCCGAAAAAAACGGTGGTACCTACCGTATTGCTCCCACGGGGCCCCTAACGTCCTCCTCACCTGCCGACACCGCCGCTCCCCTCCGCCGCAGCACCGCTCGATACCCCCGTCCTCTCCCGTCTGCTAACGCTGCTGTTGCTAGCGACCCGGTTTTCCCCGTGCCTGCTAGCCGGGCTCCGAAAGGAGGAGTTCTCTTCGTCTCCACCCCCCCCTACAGCCGCTGCTGCTGCTACTGGGCCCCCTCCTGCCGCCGCGGATTCGCTGCCACCGGTTGCGGGTACTCTCCAGTCCTCTTCTCCCGCTGCGGTATGGTGGGGGCACCGCGGCATCGTGGGCGTTCATGCGGCGTTATGGGAAAGGGGATGGGGGCTCGACAATACGTTGGTCATCAACTTCTTCGTCTGGTTGGGGGAACTCGTCTTCCGGTCAGCACCAAGTTATTGCTCGGTGTACCGTGGAACCCGCGAAAGCTTGGGAACCTCTTCCTTCTCGGGTGAGATTTTTTGCGGGAAACTCAAAGAAAAAGCCAATGTGTCCTTGAAAGTTCCCGTTTGTTAGAGGGAAAACGGCCATTCAACTCAAAACAATCTGGCTCCCTCGATACGTTTTCACTATCAACAGCGTGCGGAAGTGAGATACAGTCTAACCCTGAAAAAAACAACGAGGACGATTCGTACTGTGGTCAAAAAACGACTTTTGTTGGACGCAACCATTGTCCCCATCTACCTGACTTTGAACTAATTCGCTTGTCATATGGATCAATTACGCAAGATGGGCCACAAAACACTGACAACGACAACCGTGGCAGCAGCAACAACAACAGCAACAACAAAATGACGTCCCTCCTCCCACCTTCGGCAGAGCCAACAAGAGGCGGCGTCTCCAACACCTCCTCCCCCTCCTCCTCCTCGGTGTCGCCGCCGATACCACCACCACCCCCCTCCTCCTCACCACCGGGAGTATTCGCCGGGGCCCCCTCGATCTGCGTACCCTCCTCCTCCGCCGTAGACGCCACTTGCTCGTCGTCGTCGCCGTCTTCGTCTGATTCGTCTTCCATCACTGAGGGGTTTGCCAAAAATGGGGAGCATAACACGGGGCCGGGGTGAGAGCCGATGCAGACACGCACATTGCCATCTTGTGAGCTGAGCGTTACGGAGTCCTTGACGTAGCTTGCTTTTCCCTGCACATGCATCTTTATCGCCCTGCTCGGTGCTCGCTATTTAGGGGCTGCAAGCTGCTTCCCGGGAGATCTTGAGACACAGCTTCACACAATCCGCGGACAGTCAGGTGGGAAATTCAAATTCCGTTGAAACCGGCGTGTGTGTGTGGGGGGGGGGGGGCTCGTTCCCTCGCTGAAGAATCCCCATAACCACCAGCAAGGGTTCGGCTAGAGCCTGCCCAAAACAAAGGTACCTGGTCGAGATCCACAAGCACACGCCTCTTGTCCGGTCTGCAAAAAAGACAAGAGGGGTGTCTACCACTGCAAAGAAACGCAACGTGTTTCGGCTGCATCCACACAGGTGGCGGCGGAGCGTGCAACGACTATGGTATTTCAGTCCCCGTTTTCGGTGCTTCTCTTCCTTCTTACCTTTCCTTCTACGATTGCCGCTTGCCGGCGCCACCGTCGCCTTGCCCCCGTCACCCTCCTCGTCCATCCAAGCCTCGTCCTCCTCTTCCTCCTCCTCCTCCTCCTCCTCCTCCTCCTCCTTGTCCCCCCCCCCCTCCTCCTCCCCCATCTCCGCCTCCACTCCCCCGTCCCCTACCTCCGCATCCTCGCCACCCTCACCTCCTCCGCCGGCCGCCGCGCCGCCACCATCTACCCCCACCGTCGAACCTTCCATCTCGCGCCCATACCCACCACACGCACCCTTCTTCCTCTTCTTCTTCTTCTTCTCCTCCTCCTTCTTCCTCTTGCCCTTCGTGCTGCTGCTGCTACCTCCGCCCTCGGCCTTAACAACATCGCCGTCGGCCTTAACAACATCGCCGTTGTCGTCGACAACATCGCCGTTGTCGTCGGTGCCGGCGGCGGCGGCGGCGGCGGCGGCGGCGGCAGACGCGGCCTTCTTCTTCTCGGCGGCCCGTGCTGCTCGCGCGTCGTTCTTGACCTTGATCTCCAGGGTCCGGGCTGGGCGGATCGATTGTTTTTCGTGGGATGTTTGGGTGGTGTGGAATGTTAGGCAGGGAGGCAGGCAGTGGACAGAAATGGAGAGAGACAGACAGACAGGAATGGAGAGACAGACAGACAGACAGACAGACAGACAGACAGACAGACAGACAGACAGAAAACAATGGCGAGGAGGACCAAGAACAAGTTAGCCACATTCAAATAGGAGCCCATTTTCAACCCACCGATGGTCTGACTGCTTCGCAACTCCGAAGAATACATCTTGTGTGACCGCTGGCGACGTGGACGCCAACTCAAGAACAGTCTACAATGAACGAAACATGAATCTGTGCATGAACGCACCAACTGACCCAACTGCCTGCTTTCTCGTCCCATCGCTAGCAAAGAACAAATTGGTTGAACCAGCCATCGAACTTCGTTCGAAATTACCTTCTGCCTCCTGTTCCAGCTGCACCGAGAGCAAGTCCCAGGTGACCTCCAGGCCGAACACGAAGCTAACCAAAGAGTCCCCGGTGCCCATCTACATGGTGCAAACCAAACCACAGTCAGGGGAGGCGAGGGGAAATGAAGTAGACCAGGTCGTCGTCGCTAGGTTACAAAAGGAGTGAGAGAGGGTGAGTCCTAGTGTTTTACGGCCAAGTCCCGTGTCGCAAGCGCCTTCCATGGAGGTTGGAAAAACAGTGAGAGGGGGGGTGAGTCCTAGCGTTACGGCCAGCCCCGAGTCACGAGCGTTCTCGATAGAGGATGGAAGAAGGGTGGGAGGGGGTGAGCCCTAGTGTTGTTACGCCTAGCCTAGTCCCGTGCCACAAGTGCTTTCGATGGAGATAAAAAAAAAAGGGAGGAGAGGGGGGGTGAGTCGTAGTGTTTTAGTCACCAGGGATTTCGATAGAGCAGGCTTTTCAGGTCTGAATCTACGAAGCCAGAAGAGAGAACAGAGCTCTCTGTCTTACCGCGTTGACACCAAAGCGCTGTTGTGACCCCTGTGATGCGGGTCCGCCCACGGGCGGGGCGAAGGTTCTCATCGCTCTCCACTGCCTCAGCGACACGACGGAGAATCAACTCTATCATCATACAAATTGCCAAAGTAGCAGCTACCGAAACGTGGTGATACATGGTAGACATGGCGATGCACCAATTCTACATCATACATTGGGCCCAAAATAGCAGAAGAACGGCAAAGTGGCGATAGATAGTAGGACACGACGGAGTAACAACTCTTGTACAGAGCTAGACCTACCTTTGACAAAAATTCAAAAATGTGGTAATCTTGTCGCTTCAAAAACAAAAAAAGTACCTATAATAGTACCAAAAAAAAAAAAAATGCTGAAAAGTGATGATACACAGTAGTGCGGGAGATGACGATGCGTTGTCATCCCGTCGCTCACCATCGCTCCCCGGAACACCGGGTCATCCGCCGTGTCCGTGGAATAGTGGTGGCTCCAGGAGTTGAGGTCCTCTTCCTTCGGCATCCCCATTTGCTCCTGGCATATCAGCAGCACCATCATCAACAACAGCAGCAGCAGCACCATCAACAACAACAGCAGCACTATCAACAACAACAGCGGCACTGTAGACACTAACAGCAGAAGCACGATCAACAACAACAGCAGCAGCAGGACTATCAGCAGCAGCAGCAGCAGCAGCAGCAGCAGCAGTATTCACAGCGGCGGCAACGCAAAAGCCCCGGCGGCGGCGGCCAAAAACCGAGACTGCGCCTTCGAGATACTACAGGTACCCCGTACGAAGGGGCAGCACAAAGAAGTATTCCACGACGGCAGTAAGTGTTGCTGTTGAGAAAATAACAACTGCACCTGAAACTTGGCGGGCGGAGCCCAGTCCTCCCCCCTCTCTTGAGCCTCCCTATCCTTGGCCTCCAGTCTCGCGGTCTCCAGCGCCTCCCTCTGTCGCCACCACCCACAGCCACCACCGTCGTCATCGCCAGGAGCCGTGACGCGATTCATTGGAAGGAGGAATTGCGCATGAGAGAGAATCAGCGGGTCGTCTCGAGAGGGGATGAACACAACGGTACGTGATTTAGGTGCGTGCTCCAACGTTCGCCGCCGAAAGGGTGTTTTCGATCCTCACAACAACAAAAACAACAACTGCAACCGACCTCCCGCCTGAACCCTGTGTGTTTCGCTCTCGCTCTCTGCAGCAGCACAGACGTAAGCAACAACAACAACAACAACACCAACAACCACACCAACCTCCCGCCTGAACCCTGTGTATCTCGTTCTTGTTTTCTGCAGCACCACCAACGGAAGCAACAACGACAACAACAACAACAATCACGACAACCACCCTCCCGCCTGAACCATGCGTATCTCGTCCTTGTTTTCTGCAGCACCACCAACGTAAGCAACAACGACAACAACAAAAAACACAACAGCAACCAACCTCCCACCTGAACCCTGTGCACACGCGTAGCGAGCGCGCTCCACCTCATCTCGAACGCCAGCTTCAGCGCGTCCGCGGCCTTGGTGAGCCTGTTCTCCCCGCCGATGCTCCCGGGGGGCCACATCCGCCGCACGTTCTGGAACACCAGCCGCATGTCCCTCGTGAAGGCCGGCACGTTCGTGTACGGTACGGCCGGGGTACCAGCAGCAGCGGCACCGGCGCCGGCGCTCCCCGCGGCCGCATCGGGAGATGGCACATCTGCCGCCGCCGCCGCCGCCGTCGTGTTGCCGGAGGTGTCCCCACCGTTTCCGTCAGAGACGGCGGACAAGGGTGGTCTTGTAACGTCCGCGTGCTGCCCCCCGGCGCTGTCCCCGGCGCCGTCAGCCTGCTGCTGCTGCTGCTGCTGCTCCAGGGTGGATCTAGTAGATGCCCGGAGCCTGGCGGCGATCTTGGTGA